GTGGCTCCGAGGGGAGCCGTGAGGGCGGAGGGGGACACACACGTGAGTGGGGCTCTGAGGGAGAGCCCTGCAGGCCCTGAGGGGAGCTGTGCGGGCAGTAGTCCTGGCTGCGAGGCGAGCTGGAGCCGGGCCCTGCTTTGTGCCTGTTCTCCGGTCAGCTGTGCAGTGGCTCTTTCTCATGAGGCTGCTCGGGGTGCCGAGGGCCAGCCACATCGTCGGTGCTGTTGGAGGAGAGCTAAGCCAGGGCTGGATTTTTCTGTAGAGGGTCTTCCTAGCTACTTGTCTCTATGAGTTTTAAAATGCTGGACGAGCCAACAGCCAGTTGTACGCTTTCCTGTGGTCCAGTGAGCAGAGCCATGAGATTCTGTGAGTTCTTGCCCACTCTTGGACCTGCTGAGTTGCTTTCCTTGCCATTGTGTCTGTGTGTCCCGTGAGCTCCCGTTGCCTTCGGTGTACGGTGAGCCAAAGCAGGGAGATTCAAGTAGAGCGGGAGAAATAGTGCTGGGAGGGAACCACGTTTTGCTTGCGATAAGTCTGTGAGATCTCTTTGTTTCTCTATTCTCTGGACTGTCTTTGCAGTAAATTGCAGGTAACTGGAGTACAAGTTTTGTACAAAACCAGAAATGCACAATTGAAGGGTTAGAAAAGAGTTTTTGTAGGGGCTTAGCTGAGTTCCCGGTGCTATAATTGTTTTTGTAGGTTTATTAGCTATGTGAAAGTCCTAGACTGACAAACTGGGATGTACTTATATGTTTGAAAGATAGGTTTTCATATTTTCATGTTTTCTTTCTATTTTAGGCCACATCTAGACTCCTGGTGAACTACCAAGAACCTTATCGCTCCCAGATTTTAGATTATCTGTTCAAGGTAAAGTTGGTTTCACTGCTACAATAATGTGTAATTTCATGCAGAATTTCTTATTGTGTAATGTTGGAACTACCACTTGAAATTAGGCAAAATCCCATCTTCTAAAGCATCTACTTTAATGATTATTTTTATCAGAACCGTAAATTTTAGCTGTTGTTTTTAACAACCAGCATGTTATTCAGGAGCCTGTTTCTTCAAATTATTATTAAAATTCCTCTTATTTTTTTACAATATGTTTTAAAAAATATGTTTTCAACATGTTTTGGTCATCCATGTGGGCTTAATGAGGTTTAAATTGTTTTTGTGGCTAAAATGAGGGGTTTAGCTTTTCATAGTGATTGCAGGAAGTGGGTCTTTGAGACAGTTTTGATTTTTTTTTTTTTTGAGTACAGATAGATTCACATAATGTGAAAACGACTGTGCAGACTGCGTTGTTTCAATAGCATATCTATTCCAAACTAGTCTCAAGTATAAGTGCAGTTACTCTAGAAGGTGTGTGAACGTTATTGGTTTGTAAGCTGCTTTAGTTAGCAAGTGTAACCTGTGGAGTTACCCAGCTTAATATATGGTAAGATTATTGCACTGGACAGTAATAACTTGTTTTGCTTTTGGCACTGTAAATTACTCTGCTGGAAGAGGATGTCATGTCACTTTCAAGTAGTGTAATCCAGATGGCTGGAGGGGAAAAATTTACTGTGTAGTTTAAAGAATTGGTTTTAAAAGGTAGAGTAAGGCATAATGTGTGACTGGGGGACCAAAACCTGTGTTTTCTGGAGACTGAAGCTGTGTGTTACAAAAAAAAATGAGTTTTCTGAAGGAATCAATAGGCATGTGGTAAAAGAAAATCTAGCTGAGAGATCATGATTTTCAAAGAATTTTTGACATGCTCTTTCATCAAAACCTCTTAAGCTGTCACGAGATACCTGGGAGGGGTATACCTTACCTATACCTTATTTTCCTTGTCTTTTAATGTCAGTCAGCTTTCATGATGGGGATGGGAGAGCAAATGTGTTAGAAGTTTAAAATCAGAAATGTCAGGAAGAGAATGGTAAATTAGGAATATTTGCTTCTTATTTAAAAACAAATAAAAAAATCCAAAACTTGTAAGCTAAGCAAACTATCGTCTATGCAGCATATTTTTTTAATCAAACTGCATTCTCACATCTTAAAACTTTTTTTTGGGTGCCAAAATTATACTTGGGTAATTCCGTGGAGGAGGCCAGCTCATTAGTGGTTATTAAAATAATGATTAGTTGTAACTTCTGGCTTAAGCAACTCTTAAGCCACTAATCGCTGGAAGAACATGCTAGGAGTAGGATCACTTGTATGAGCTTGAACTTCATATTCTGCTCCACTAGTCAGATGCCAGGGGAAGAGGATAGTGGACTAGGTGGCCATTTGTTTTCCACTGTGGTGTTTTTTTTTCTCTCTTGCCTTTCTGCCCCTAGTTAGCAGATTATTTCTGACCCGTATGTATGCTCTTTCGCATAAGCAGTGTAACCCTTTACACCAATGAGTAAGTTATTTACAGAAATATTAACTTCAATAATTTGATTTTAAAAGAAAACAAGCTTGACTTGTAATAACATTAAAAATACCATTGTGTTCCTCATATAGCCCATGTTCTATTTTCTTGAGCATATTTTCTCAGTATTTCCTTGAGCGTAACCAATTTAAAATCTGCACAGTTGGGGAGAAGTGTTGCTAATCGTTCAAGAGTTGGTGAAACTGACTAAAGATAAGTGTACTATTTATCTTGCTCGATTTCCTCTTGAAGCAGAATTTTGTATAATCTCTCATTGCATCTATAACGGGTGTTTATAAAAAAAAAAGTATTGAATTTTTAGCATCCTCAAAACTGTACACTTATTTATTGCATTCTTCTTGTTAACAGCAGGATTCTGTTTGTTTTCCTGTCTCTCTTTTTTCCTAGCCAAATTTTGGTGCTTCTCTACATATCCTCAAAGTAGAGATTGGAGGTGATGGACAATCAACAGGTATGGATTTTGCCTGAGCAGCGTTTAACTTCTCATTGCAGTGATGCTGTAAGTAACATGTCCTGCACGTGTAACTTTAGCTGAAGCATGGAGATGAATTCTGCAGAAAAACATAACCAATGTCTGCTAACTTGCAGAAAAGAAATTTACACTGGCATTCTGGAGATGGTTTTCACTATCATATGGTTAATAGGTTGCATTCTAGAGCAAATGAGTTCTTTTTTTCCCCCAAGATTAAGGAAGCTCTAGTAGCTTTCTGAATTGTAGAGCATTTCTCAAACACCAGTTTTGCAATACAAACTGTAAAACTTGTGTAGGACTAGGTAGTTTGTGTCTTAAAAGCATGAAAATGCAAAGAGAGCTGGCCAGAGCAAATATGTTTCTTTGGTTTAATGAGCTGTTGCATTTCACTGGAGTAGCGTTATCTGACGCAGGTGCTATTTTTTTTTGCCTGGCCACAGTTGCAAATGAAAATGTCTTGGTGTAATTTGCCTAGCCTACTATATTTACATATAGGAGAAACTGTTTAGTAACTGATTGGAAGCTGAGAAGCAGTAACTAGACTACAGTTCATATCTTTTTTTTTTCTTCTTTCCCTCCCCCCCCCCGCCCCCCCAGAAGTAAATCTCGGCCATGTCAAGAATAGACTTAAAGAAAACTCAGTTAATAAACAAAAAGCATAGCATCTCTCTTTGTGGCATTTTATATATATATTTTTAAATGTCTGTGTTTGTGCAATTAGATACTGTTTTTCATTCTTTTGTTTACTTTCCTTAAGAAAAATTAACATGGTGAAAAGTATTATACTGGGTTTAAGAGCTCGATATTTGCTCAATAAATTGCCGGTTAGAAGAGAATGGAGTCGTCTTCATGCATGCACAGACCTTCTCTTCAAACACTCTTGCTGCTGGCTGTGGAGAATGTTACATACTTGTGTAATAGCATTCCAGATTTTAGAATGAGAAAAATAAGATGCGTATGTCTTAACATACTAGACTGCAGCTCTTATTCTGACCTCAGAGGTGTGATCAGGAGTCTAAGTTTGGAATCTAATTGTTGTTCTCTGTCTCTGACAAATAAAACTTCCAAATAGTCAAGTGTTAGTAAGGTAAAAAAAATCAATCCTATTTTCTGTAACGAAATGTGCTGTTTCAGCAGGCTTCATAAAAAAAGAAAAAAAAAATCTCAGTTCTCAGAAGAGAACTCTGGAACAATTCGGCATATACTATAGCATAAGTAATTGTTGCACAAGTTATTAATTGACTTTTGTGTGTAATGACTTCCCATGCAACACTGATTCTTTTGCACCTTTCTAGTTTGTTTACCTTTGCCTAAGGGAATTCAGTGCATAGCCTTCAATTCCAAAAACTCTTCCTGCAATCACAGAACACCACGGAAATTTTAAAACAGATCTTTTACTTACTATAAAAATAAAAAAATCTCTTTCCTGTCACTGAAAAACTTCATGGCAGTTCCTTTTTTTTCTCTCCCTGGACTTACCTTGCACAGGAGCAATGAACTATAACCTTCTTTTGTTTGCTTTTTGGGTTAGATACAACCTGCTTCTACAAATTTTTTTTTTTTTTTTTTCCTACCCCCCCTCCTGGTCTTAATGCTGTAACTTTCCTAGTGGTTGTTGGGAGCAAGATAATCGTGAATATAGATTTAGTATTATCATAGCTAGGGATAGAAAATGCCCAATAGTTAATCACATTCTGATGTTAAAAGCAGGCATAGTCCCTTAAAATTAAAAAATATTAAATATATGCTAAGTTAATATACTAAGAATGAAGGGTGGCAAGTCTTGTGTGTTCCCTCCCACTACTCGTTTTTCTTTGAAATACATACCAAAGAACGTGTGAACCATGTTGGAGATATGTGCTTGCATACTATGGCAGTGAGCAATACTGAAAACTTTTAAATGTGTAACAGCTTATGACACAGAAGATAATTGTGAGCTACCTGTCTCTTTCTTTTTCCTCCTAGATGGTACCGAACCCTCCCATATGCACTACGAAAATGATGAGAACTACTTCCGGGGCTATGAATGGTGGCTGATGAAAGAAGCTAAAAAGAGGAACCCCAAAATTAAACTGATCGGTAAATTGCTTCAAGCTTTAGGATTTAAATGCTTTTTCCCCCCTAACTAAATTACATATCTGACCCTTAATTAGCATATTAATTTTAATGGGCAGACATTTTGATGTTGCAGTAGACAAAGTAGAATCTGTAATATTTGGTAAGCTGGCCTTGATGCTTCACTTAAACTTACTGTGTTCTACTTTGTTACAGTAGCACAACTGTAACAAGTAGCATAAGAAGAATGTATGTATGTAACAAGTAGCATAGGATAAGAAATGACTCTAATAATTTGCTTGTATCAAGTAACATTGATGGTTAGACTGTATCACAGCAATGAACATAAATGATTTATCATGAGAGCTGAATTTCTGGATAATAGGGTAAAAAAATTGTGAGGGATAAAGTAAACTTACAGAAAGTATAAATCTTATATGCACTAAATTCAATTATATGTTCTTATTACAAACCCCTCACCCCCTCCCCACTCTAGTAGTCTTGTCTTCTGATATGTCTTATGTATGTAGTTGAGTTGTAAGAGGACTTTCCTGTCTCCCTGTTTTGATTGTGGGTTGTGTGTGTGCTGTCACAGTACAAATGTGGAACCCTAGATTTTAACTGAAACACTTTACCACATGTATTTCACATGAAACAAGGTAAGAAATCTATCAATTAAAAAGTATCTAATCCCCCTTTTCCAGGAATCAGACTTTGCCATATCCAGCCACAAGGCATGATTTGGTGCAGGATTTGCTAGTCAGTTTCTGTTAGACGTGCACTGGGACAAAGCAGTAAGCTTACCATTTATGACTAATTGATTGTTAATAACCTCCCTTTTCCCTCAGATCAAGCTCTCAACAAAGGAAGGAGGGTTTGCCTTTGAATTAGCCTATGGTGTCTTATACAAAGTCAGGTGAAAACTTAGCAGGATCTGGTTAGATTAATTTGTTGTTCTTATTTACTACAAGATCCAGTAAACAGCTGAGACTTGGAAATGTTTTTTCATGATCTTAATCTTTCTTCCTCTAGTATGATCAGATCATCACTGCTTCCAAAGTTCATATTCAGGAGATTAACAATTTTTGGTGTTCAGTATTGATCCTTTGTCTATAACTTTGTGAATTTTTATCCTAAAATCTTTGGAATGTTAAACCTGTTAGAGCTAATACCACACAATTGAAAGACTGTATGTAGTCAGTTGTTCTCTAGTAATGAAGGTTTTCTAGCTTAAAAAAAAAAAGCAGCTATTAATATGTTTGATCACAATTTATATTAAAGCATACTCTCCAATTAAATAAGTTATGTTTCATTGTCTTCACTGGAACTATGTGAATTTGAAATGCATTTTCTGCTGCTTCATTTTAGGTAGATCAAATTACAGCTTGCTATTGAAGCTTACTGAGTAATGTAGACCAACCACTTATCTTATTCATTTGTTTTTCTTCTCTCTTTCCAGGATTACCCTGGACGTTTCCAGCATGGATAGGGAAGGGTGAAAACTGGCCCTATGACTATCCAGATGTCACTGCTTACTATATTGTTTCTTGGATATTAGGAGCTAAACAGTATCATGATTTGGACATTGATTATATTGGGGTCAGTAAAGCGAAATCTCCTGTATATTTTATCTATCTTTGTTCCTAAGATCCCGGTCTTGTCTCTCTTTGTTGGTTACTGGAGGAGGGGAATGGGAAGAGAAACTGTTTTGTAATTGCAGTTTTGGCTTTTTCTGTTGCAAGGGGAAAGGCAGAAGTTATGTTAGTTTGCAGTGTTTCTGCAATAATGGCCATTAAAGCAGAACCAGTGTAAAATGGCTGGTCTCCTGCCTTCCCAATTCTAGAACAATGTTATGAGAGAATTTGAGAATTCTGAAACCTGTTTGAGTTTTGGGCTTGTTATTTTCTGCCTTGCTTGTTCTGCTTGGGTTTCAGCAGTTACCAGCTAACAAAAAGCATTAGTTAAGACAGAGTTTGTGAAAGTCAGCTAACATGACTTCTTGGCATAAAATATGGTCGCTGTTTTGCGGAAGGGCAATCCTCTACAACTTCTTCCGTTTTTACCCGCATTATTTATAGTAGATAAAGGTGCATGTGTTACAGTACATTACAACTACTGTATTGTGTTACAGTGCAATATATGGAAGTAGTGAACAAATGTCTGAGAAAAATGTCATAATTTGGAGATGAGAGAGAGAAGTAGACAATCTGGAAAAACACTTTTCAAGTTCATTATTTGACTGAGATTCAACTTTTTATTTTTTCTTCTGATTTAGAAGGCTAGGATTCCTCTAAAATCAGTCCTATACTTACTGAAACACTTCTTTTGGACTTTTAATTGTTTTGATATGAGACAGGTGTTTAACTGCAGAAAAGCTGAAAATCACTTCAGCAGTCCAGAGCAAAGCTTCTGAAACTATGGTTCCCATCCCTCAAAGGAAGTCTGACCTTCCTGCTGTAATGTGGGAAGGTATATCTGATGTATATCTCCTCTGGAATGCATCCCCCTTGATGTTGCGGACTTATTTCAGCTGTGTCAGTCTTGCACTTTGAGTAACACAGTGATGCTTCAGCAATTCAACTGGGGGGACAGGGAGAAAACTGCTGTTAGATTTTTCTCCTGGCTATGCTCTTAAGAGTAGAAGGCAAGTTCTGCACTTTACATATTTGAGTAATGTCTGGTTTCTGTGTTGTAACTTCAGAGTGATTGGCCTTTTGAATTCTATACTTCTAAGAAAAGGGGATTTCTGCTTCTACAGGCAATGTGGTGACATTGCATATTGTCTGATTTCTTTGTGAGTATAATCTGATGTACAGGAAAGCAGTGAGGTCTGTGAAGGCTCAGAAACTGTCAAAACAATTTTAATGCTGTTCTGATTCTACATTGTTAGCCTTTACTGCTCTATTGGTTTATAGCATGTGTTATATCATTATTTGCTTTATGATGAAATGAGCCTTTCAGTAAGTAACTTTTTGATTGGCTCATTTCTGAAGTCACATATTAGCACATATGGAAAGATCTAGAAATATCAAAATCAGATGGACATATCCCGCGTGCAAGAAACTGCTTGTACATGGTTGGGTAATCTACACCTACAGGAGGATACTTTCATCTTTACTGGTGAATGGGAGTCACAGTGTTCATGTTGTGGTTAGAAAAAAAGAAACTAAGAAGGTTTCCGACTAGGCATTTTATTGGCCAGGGTATTTGGTAGAAAGGAAGACCAGCATTCCCGCTTTTGAATTTTCTCTTTCCATAAAAGACGGAAAATCCAGAGCAACAGAAATGACATAATTTTAGGTCCGTTTACTTAAACTATGCTGGATGTCTCTTGTGTTCAAGTATGGATATAGTCCATAGAAATAAATTAGAAAGAAGTGCAAGTGTCATTGAATAACCCCCTGAAACTGTAGGCAATTGTTTGATGTGTAACTTATTCTAGCTCTCCTATGTCAGTGTATGGCAACAGGGCCCTTTCATTAGGACCACACCTTGAAGCCACAATGTGTTTCTCAATGATTTCTAACAAACTAGACCAATTGGTAATAATGTCATGTGTAACACTGCTACCATTGTAGAGCTCAAGCAGCTCTAGAGTTCTTTTCAGCAAGAAGGCAATCAGTAGACATTAGAGATAGATAAACAAGCAGCTATTTTGAACTTTCATACAGAATTTTCCCCTGAAGAGCTGATAACGAAACCCACCAGAGAACTTTCCTCTAGCAAACTGAAACCAATGAGTTCATTAATGGATTGTATAATCTTACATATACATAAATAAAATCTTTCATTATGCATTGATGTATCCTGATTTTTCTAAATGGCTTTTTACTTTTTCTTTGTAGATATGGAATGAAAGGGCATTTAGTAGCAAATATATTAAGGTATGTATTTTTTCTTATTTCTCTAAAGTGAGATGTTTGTTATAATATGTAAACAATTAGCTTTTCTGAATTTGCTTAGAAAAGGGATCTTAGTCCTGCAGCTACTTCACTTACTAAACTCTGTTTCTTGTAGTTGCAGGCATGGAATGCTAACAGGATCAGATCTCTAGATCTTTTTTTTGGGTGTCTGAAACTGTTATTTTGAACTTTGATTGTGTCAGTGTATGCTAAATGTTTAGGACCTCTACATTTTAATGGAAGCTCCAGTTGATGCTACTGAAGTCATACAAATTCATCATCTTTGTACTGGCTTGGATATAGTTACAAGTCCAAGATCTAGAATTACTTAAAATTCTGTAGCAAAGTTCCAGTGGATATAATACCCTTAAATTTTTGCTAGAACTCAAGGTTCTTATTTTATGGAAAACATAATAAAAGCTTTGTGGGTTTAGCTGTGCAAAAATCAGTACCTCCTGTTCTAAAAGAGTTGGAGGAACACAGTATTTCACATAACCAACCCTGAGATATCTCTAATGTCTCTCACTGCTGCCTGCCCCCCTGCCCTTCTTTGAAAACTCACTTCTGTTTGTTCTGTTATGTTGAAGTGGAGTCTTAAGTACAAGCTTCTCTTTTGTTCATTTCCTTGTTGCTGCTTCGAGGCTAAGAAGCAATAGCATTGTCTCTACTTAAAAGCAAATAAGAGTTAAATTGAGTATGTAGAAAAGCTGCTGATTTTTTTTTTTTTCAGAACTCAGCAGGGATTGGATCCCATCTGCTTAAAATTAGTCAACTAGTGGCTAGTAGAAAAGTTTCAGTTCTTACAGTTTGTGTATACTGGATGAGGTTAGTCACATCATTTGTCCTTTGCAACTTCTGTAGTTATTTTGTTCAATGATTAGTTTTAGTAGAATGATACAGGAAATGGCATAAGACAGTTAAACTTGACATTGCAGTCAGAGCAAAAAAGTTTCTTTAAGTATCTTTCATGAGGCTGGCATAAAATTCTGCCTACTCCTGAAAACTGAGAATGCTTTCCTATAAAACATTTCTTTTTAAAATTATATTTCCTAGAATGTAGCATTAGATAAATACTCTTAAAACTGTTTCCTATGATTTGTGTAGTGTTTTGACTGAGGGAGGGCAGGAAGCACTGGCAGAAAGCTCTGTGCTGGTTGTATACCTTGTACGAAGAAAGAGGAATACCTTACATCCAGCTTTATGGGTTTCTTGTTAACAAATATCTTAATCAACGATGTATTTTAAACTGATTTACCGGGTCTGCTGCCACCAGAGTAACTTAGTTTCCAAGTCTTATCACATCTTAGACCAAATTCTGTTATGTATACTTCACAACTAATTTCATTAAAGGTATTTTCTAGACTCTCACTTTTGTAGGCTGCTAGGCCATTAGTTCCTTTTGGACACAGAGGTTTGGCACTAGAGTTTTTGAGTGACTTACAAAATCCCTTCCAGAGAAAACTCAAATACATTGAAGTGTGACACAGCAGGATATTTTGGCATCTATGTCAAAGTGTCTTGTTTCTTTGGGCATGTTAAATTACAAAACTCTGGTGGATCTGTAGATGCTTCAGATTTTGCGTGTGAAGCTACTTAAATCCCTGTCTAAACTTGTTCAGTGGGTGTGCTTAGAATCCTCTTAAAATATCCCATCCCAATGTGTGTTCAGCATAAACCATAACCTAACTTTTTTTAAAGCTAGGAAATGAGTTCATAGGGTGCTCTCTTTATTACAAAAAACCCTCAGGAACTAGAAGTTTTCTGTTACATTTAGCCTCGGGCAATGTGGGTTCCAGGATTTTCTTTTTCAAAAAGAAAAGTGGTTCGCTAATAGAAATCACTTGGGATACTAGTAGTCTCCTAAAGGATAATCCTAATCATAGGTAAGTTATGCTGGTAGGGGAGGAGAGGGAAATGTGTGTGTGTGTGGACTTCAAATAGAAATCTCTAGTTGTTCAGTATGTATGTTATACAAGCAAAACCAAACAGAACAAAAACACTTGTTTGCAGGCTGGAATAAAACAATGCAAGTAAGATGGAAGAAAATAGTGAGAATTTTTTTTTTTTGTGCTGCAAGTTTTATTTCTTCACTGACTAGATGTTACATTGCTTGGAATGCCTATAAGACTGAACTGAACCCTTTGTAAAAAGAATGATCAGAGCCAGAAGGCAGATCTTACTATAAAGAAAATACTCATTTCCCTATATCACTGATTGGCTCTTTTTTTAAAACTGGTTTTCTGGCTTTCTGTATGTCTTGTAAGAAATAGAAATGTTCTGTTTTGCTCAGTCCTATGTCATGTCACCAGGAGGCTTTCTCATCTGTTTGTCTTGGCTTCCTAATGTGGGGAGAATGAATGTGGAGAACAAACTGTCTCCACAGTTTGTTGAGTGCAGATGCGGCATTCTACTTGTTAGATTTTTAAATGCCTTTGAATTGAGATTAAGCTTTTGGCTTCTAAAGCTAAATGTCTAATTTAAAATTTGATCTTAAAATCACCCAAATATTTGCTGAAAAGTGTCAGCCTTCTCTCCACCGTACGCTAATTGATATAAGGCTTTTTATTTAACACCTGTTTTACCATCCATTCTCTTACACTCTGCAGTGTCACGTGACATCTATTCTCTAATCAGCATGATAGTTCTGTTTGCAGTCTGGCATTTCGAAAAAGGTCTATTTACTGAAGTGTGCTGCTGCACACCAAACATTTTCTGTAATGTCTGACAAATACATGACATAGATAAGCTCTTAGTTATCTTGCTAAATTTTTACGTGTAAGAAGTTATTTTAGTTACTTCATCCACTAGGGTGCTAGCTATATTTCTTATTAAGTAGAAAAAAAGAAAAAATAAATGACGATTCTATTGCTTATAAATTCTTATTCAAGAAGATCCTATTCTCCCAATTATATTTTTAAATACTGTCATCTTAAACTAACCCTAAAATTTAAGGGGTATCTGTATATAAACATGAATACTGGGTGTGGGGGAACCATTCTGCATGTGTTTTTATGGAGTGCATTTTGAATGTCTACAGTTCTGTGTCCTTGTTACCTGTCTTTCAACATGGAAGTTCTGCAACGTTTCTAGTCGTTTTGTTCTTCTAAACTATTTCTATGGTTAGGCAGTTTTTCCAAATGTCTAGGTAGCTAGAAAGCTTTAAATTGCAAGGACCTACTGTAAGTATTTCTACCGTTAATAATTTTTCTTCTGATAAACTTTATGCTTCAAAGGCTTCAAGCAGCTGAACAGAAAACTTCATTGCTACTTTTCTTCTTCTTAATAAGTTTTATGTCCTTTAGATCTAGGCTTTCATTGTTACCAACACTCGGACTTTGCTTTGTGTCCTTACTTGACTACATGTCAAAATAGAAATGCTCCCTATTCTCCTTCACATTGCTGGAGGGCTATTACAAGAAATTATTTAGGATTCATGCCTACTGATCTTCAAATGGTTGGAAAAATCTTTCTCATGCATGCGTACATACAGCACATAGTACATCATTCCTTTATATCCAAGATTGAAAAAAGGATTTTAGACTATGGACTAATGTCCTTTTTTAGATGCAGCTGTATGTGGAAGCTGCTGAAAATACTTCTAAAAAATTTTTTTTTAATTGAGTGTTCAGATAAAACATGCTTGTATAATACCAGCCCTGTATAAGCCTGGTTCATTCTTAACTGTTAGAGCTGGGTATATTTTGCCTGGGTATATTTTGTCCAAGAAGTTCCACAGGCAGATGTGGGAGGTTTATCATCTTTCACAGTGAAATAGTAAGGAGAAGCTGGACAGACAGAATAGGAATTCTCTTCTGCCGGCATGTTTGAATTCAAACTTAAGTGCCCTCAGTTTTGTTGTAAATATGCAATTCCAGTTTTATGCATTACGTTCCTGAAAATTAGTGAGACATATGAGAGCCAAGTAGTGGGTAAACTTAAATATCAGACACTTAAAACATCAAGAATTTTTTTTTTGTTCAGTAAAATAGCCTGTGAAAAGAACACTTAGGTACTCTTCACTTGAAAAGGACAGATGTTTGGTAAAGATTTCTGTTCTTGTAGGAAACTGCATGGCTACAAGGTCTTTTCTGTTTTAAAACTTCAATCCCTGTTTTCTCAATATACTTTTTTTGGGATCAGGTTAACTTTCACTTCTGATCACTTGTGGAGGTATGTCCACTTCCACATTCCAGCCAGTCATAATTTTTAGATCAACTTAACATGACTGACTTTATGATAAATCCATTACTCACATGTAATGAATTACATGCATGCAATGGATTGAGTCAGTATGTTGAGAGTGTCTGAGCGGAGTACATATATGCACATGGGGTGTCAAAAGTAATCCAAGTGATGAGAAGCCCATTTTTGTGTAATGGCTATCTGAATGTCATAGATAACCCTTCAGTGTTAAAAATACTTATCGTTAACTTTGTTTTAGTTGTCATTATGGCTCTCCTTTGAGAAGTGAGAACTTTTCTTATCCATCTTGATCTGAAGACAGATGCTTCCACCGACGACTCCTTCAGTTCTTAAATTGTTTTTTAGTCTTAAATTTTCATGTTGCCTGGTTGATGAAGGCTGTACTTTAAGTGGTGTTATCTGTTACTAAGGTACTTCGACAATCTTTGGACGGACTGGGTCTAAGAAACATTGGCATCATCGCTGCGGATGGAGATTGGAATGTTTCAAAGGAGATGATAGTTGATCCCTATCTTAATGATGCTGTTGAGGTAGTCGGGTAAGTGTGGGAGAAGGGAGGAGTCTTACACATTGCTTATTGCTTCATTTCTGTGAGTAAGTCTCCATCTCTGTTTTGAGAAGTCATATTCTTATTCCATACTTCCTAGCCATTCCCAGTTTTGTCATCATTATGTACAGTGGTGACTGATTACTCTTTCCTGTCTTCCTCTCTTCTTTCAGTTTAGTACATGTGTAAGGTAACCTTACTACTCTTCCATCATCTTTCAAGTGTTCAGTTAGGAGCCATGTTTTAGGCTTCTTATCTTGGCACTAGCGAATGACAGGAGACTTCTAGCTAATCTGCGCGTGCATCTTTGAAGTCAGTAAAACCTTAGGACTGAATTCTTGGTCTGCAATCAGTTTTAATTTCAGGTGAACTTGAACTTTCACATTGGAACTTATCATCGGGGACTTTCCATGCTTGCAGCATTCCGTGTTACATGTCCTTTGCTTGAGATTTTTATGGTCATGTCCTAAAGCTAGGAGTTTCTGTTTGTAGCTTATATCTGGTAACAGACAGTATTAGAAGTGTACACACAGACAGTAAGGTAGAAGTAAAAACAAGCATCCAAAGTTTGTTTTTAAACTAATAAACCTTTTTTTGAATGCCCACTGTTGTAGTTCTAGCAAATGGCAACTTGATTGTTTGCCTGCACTCTTGCTCTGTAATACACTTTCCTACTACTTTGCTTCTGTTAACTGGCTTGATACTTATTCTGCTGCTCTTTCTTTCTTGGTAATCTCTGATTTCTCAAAACTATATATAAATAGGTTTTTAAAAATTATAGCACATTCCCAGTGGAAATGACCTATACATGTATAAATTGTTCACTTGTGTTAACTTGCTTACCTCTGTTGTTAACCTTACTGGGATAAGGACATGCTTGTGGTCACTAGTGTACCATTTATCCTCATCTATACACAAGGGGGTGTGATACGCTCATAATTGTTTAAACTAATGCATGGTTCAAAGGTTACAGCAAGTTGGTTAAGCAGGGATTTTATAAAGAAACTGCTTTCATATGTGTTAAGCTTGTAAACACTGATCACCTGGAAGTGGCTGCCCGAGAAATGCCAATATTAATGCCAGCATTCAGTAACTCATTTGGTTTAAAAACTTATAACTTTCTTAGGTTAGGCAAGACTTGCACCTCAGCAAGTTATAGCGTGTTAGGAAATGTTTTAGTTAATGATTTCCATGCCAATGAAACTTGCAGAATGAATGCACGGAGTATGTATGGCTCTTACTTCTTTAAGAGCTTGACAGAATCAAGGATAGGAGTACCTGTTTTTGTTTGTAGCCTTTAGGACCACGGACATATTTTAGTTGTCCTTTAAGATGAAAGTTTTTTTGTCAGAGGTTTTTCTTGAATGTCATAAGGATTTTTCCCCAACTCCTCCACCCTGGCTGATCACAAAAAATGAAGAGTTAGGAGAGTATTTCCTGTGCAGTAGTGTTGTTATCCATCAAGAAATTAAGGTTAGTACAAAATGAGAACACCATGTTTCTCAGTCAATGCTGACTTTAAGGCACCAATTACCAAACAGGGTTCTTGCTGACCTAGAAAAAGATGATAGTATTTAGGTGTCTGTCCTTCAAATGCTCAGGTTCAGAAAGTTGCTAAAAGTACACTGTATCTGTATGTCTTTTAGACAACCGTGTCTAGTTGTTTGCAAAATCTGCTGGTCAATCTGTTTTCCTACATAGTCTTAAATTCTTTTCTCAGAAATCCTTTCCTGTACATTGTTCTGTAATCTCTTTTCAAGTATAACCCTCTCTGTGACTTTTTCTTAGTTCTTCTACTTGGAATGGAAATGTGGGATTAAATTTATATTGTTTTATTTAGAAATTATAAAGATAATTGAAATGCTTGCTTTGGCATCCATCCACAAAAAATAACTGACCTTTCCCTTTCTTTGTGTTTCCTTTAATTTTGTTTTTTCCTTTCCTTTGTTTTTCACATCAGGTAATTTTTACCTTGATACCATTGCTCCCTGTGGAGCTTTATCCCTGCCTAAAATACCATTTGCAATCTGAAGCATATATAAGGTAGATTTAAGGTAAAGTTTCTATGTCTGTTTTTTCCCCTCCATATTTGCTGTCTGCTGGCTTGTGATTTGAAAGGTGGAGACTTCATATTTTCTCTTTAGAATGAAGGCTACCAAGCTGTTATCATTCAGTATGTTTCAATTTCATTGGTTGATGGAGTGGTCTTCCTGAACATATTGCTTGCCATCATTTCATACCAGTGAGTTGCAGCACTTGCCATTGAAAACAGAAATTTTGTTAGAAGAAGAAAAGAAAAAAGCCTTTATCTACTAAATCAAATTACTTACCCAATATTAATGAAGTGCTTGAAAATGAAAAAAAAAAAAAAAGTAATATAGTTACCTCAAGTCTTACTGTGTTATGTTATGCTTCCTTATTTTGTTTGCAAGACCATCCTCACTAGTGTCTTCCTATGTTATTTTGATGGGTGCTATTTCTGTGTTTGTATAGTGTATATTCTTATTACTTTTCTCCCAGGAGGTATTATGGCTCAGTACTACATCTTCTGTGTTAGACATGAATTTTGTTTGCTGTGTTTAACAAAGCCTATAGAGCCCATAGCTCTATTTGGCAAGTCCTTTCTTAAAGGCCTGTATGCCAATACACAATTAGACTTGAATATATTCTACAATATCTTTTGCTGATGTTTATCTAGTAGTATACAAATTGAGAATGTTTTTCCATAATTCTCAATTATCTAAGTTATCTTTGACTTGTAAGCCATTATTAGTGGACAGTAATTGTATGTTGGGTGGTGGAAAATAATCTGCCTTCGTTAGTTTTTATTTGCCAGACAGAACAAATCATATTGTATTTCTAGCTGATGGTAGCATGAGTCTTTTCTAATACAGTGATCAAACAGCAGAAACGATTGCTGCCATTTCAATTTCCTGTCTCCTAGTGTCTGTCATTAAAAAAAAAAAAAATCATGGTAACTCTTAATGAACAGAGAAGATGGGTGACATTTAAGAGCTATTTGTCAATGACTATGGCTTTTATGTAAGGGGTTCTTGTTCTGTTGATTTTCATAGTTAATATAGTTGCAACTTTAGAGGAATCATTAGTCTTATGATCCAGGAATGCTTTCTCAGTTCAATAGGAAGAACAAGTTCAGTTCACTGTTATTTGTTCTCTCTGAGGTGGAAGACTGTTGTGGTTTAACCTGGCAGGCAGCCAAATACCATGCAGCAGCTTGGTCACACCCTGTGCTCCCCCCAGCCCCGCAGCAGGATGGGGAGGGACTCGCTCACTCCACCTTCCCCCAGTGGGATGGGTAGAGAATCGGGAGGGTAAGAGTGAGAAAAACTCGTGGGTTGAGATAAAGACAGTTTAATAGAACAAAAAAAGGGGAAAATAATAATGATAATGATAGAATATACAAAATGAGTGATGCACAATGCAATTGCTCACCACCTATGCTGACCGATAACCAAGTAGTGATCGCTACTTCCTGGATCACGTCTACCATTCATATACTGAGCATGAAGTCACGAGCATACCCCGTTGCCCAGCTGGGCTGACTGTCCTAATTATGTTCCCTCCCATCTTGTGTACCTAGCTCAGTCAGTAGGGCATGGGAGCTGTCCTTGGACTAGGAGGGTACTTAGCAACAACTGAAAACATCAGTGTGTTATCAACATTCTTCTCATACTAAATCCAAAACACAGCACTAGGAAGAAATTTAACCCTATCCCAGCCGAAACCAGGACAAAAACATTTGCTATAAGAGAGAAAGATGAATTGACTTGTCTAAGACTATGCTAAGCTGGTGGAAGAATAAAGATTAATTATAGAAAATAGTCTTCTGGATTTATTTTATGATTTTGGACCATGCTGCTTTTGCCATCATTTTAAACAGGATTTTGTATTACATAATTCAAAGCACAAGCTAGAAACTTAATTTTGCATTTATGTAACTGATCTTAAGACACAATGTTTGTCTCAATTTAAAACAATAGATTTTACTGGTAGAACAGCCTTGTCTTTTTTTTTAATGTCTTATTTCTGGGTATGTTATCTGTAATTAGATACAATTATTGACTAACTTGGTTTGCACAGGACCTCTGGATGTCATCTGGTTGAACCCCCTTGCATCAAGCAGGTGCAATTAGATCTTGTGCTGAGGCTTGTTCAGCTTTAATATCTTCACAATCCCTTTGGGCAACTTATTCCATGTGTTTGACCATACTCATGCTCTTTTTTTTTTCTTTTTTTAAGCTCTTATACCTAACTGAATTTTTCATCAGTCCACAGCCTGTACTGTTGCAAGGGGTTATTCTGTTCCAGATGTAGGACTTCATGTTTGCATCTGTTGAACTTGACGAGTTCCTGTCAGCCTTTTTTTCCAGTCTGTTAGTTTCCTCTAAATAACAGCCCTCCTTTTCAGCATATAATCATTGTTGTGGGTTAACCCTGGAAGGCAGCTCAGCCCCACACAGCCACTCATTCACTCCCCCACAATGGGATGGGGGGGAGAATCAGAAGGGTGAAAGTGAGAAAATTCGTGGGTTGAGGTAAAGACAGCTTAATAGGGAAAGCAAAAGTTGTGTGTGCAAGCAAAGCAAAATGTGAACTTCCTGACTTTTGTTAAAGACATCAAATAGTATTGGCCCTAATATCAGCCTGTGGGGACATCCTAGCAATCTGCACCCTGGTTGGACTTTTCTATCCACTTTGGTGGGAGACTTTGCTAAAGCCAAGGTATATGATATCCACTGATTTCACCTTGCCCACACAGGTAGTCATCTTGTTGTAGAAAGCAGTTGCGTTTGTCAGGCATGATTTGCCCTTGGTAAATCCATGCTGCCGTTCCCAGTCATTCTCCTATCCTTCTTGTGCTTGGAAATGGCTTCCAGGAAGACTTGCTCTTTAACCTTCTTGGGGACTGAGGCTAGATTGATGGGCCTGTAGTTTCTTAGATCCTCCTTCTTGAAGACAGGCATTAAAAC